GTCCTAAATAGGGGAGAAGGAGAGCAGATTGGCTGCAGCCTTGTGAGACACCATAGGCTGACAGCCCAGAAACAGGGGGCAAAGTGAAAATCCGGCACGGATTTCCGGATATTGTGACACTATTTTTTCATTGGTGCTGATGTGCACTATGACAAATGGGTTGTGCCCAACCCATCTAGTAGCCTGTCAATTCGTTCCGCAATGTGCCAAACACGCACCCCCGGTAAGCAGCACACTGTTCGGCGCTCACGGTCCCGATGACAGATTACCCTGTCGGTTCGCCTGATGATGGAATCTCCCACCACCAGGATCTGCCTCTCCTGATCCTCCATCCGGCTCCCCTCCTCGCTGGAGCAGTCACTCCCCCCCCGGATAGAGGAGGCGTCCTGCTCCAGCAGTGTCACCCCTGAACTATCACCAACATCACGCAACCTGGCGTATTTGTTTGGGTTAACCAGTTCAGGGCTGACCTCTCTAGCACTCTTCCCTCTACCCCGTCTTCTAACTGTGACCCAGCTTCCCACCTCGGGATCCTGCTCCTCCGCACCCCCCGCCTCATCTAAGCCTCCCTCCACCACAGCCTGGTGCATTAGGTCAAGACTCCGTTCCATGTTGGTTATGCATCTCAGTGTTGCCAGTTTGTTGCTTAGATCCAGAATTTGGGGCCTTTCTCAGTCAGCTTTGGGCTTGTATCAATGGCATAAGTTTGACATCAGTTTGAGAAGCATTCAGATTTTATTGACAGGTGCATTGAACCTGCACTTGATCTCTGCTTCAAGTTTTGATGATGTTCTGCTTCAAGTTTTTCATTCCCATAGACTTGTAAGAGAATGCAAAATCCATCTGATGTGAACATAAGTATTTATGTAATTGGATATGTTGTAATACAAGAATTGTATGCCGTGCATGTAAGAGATAGCTGGTTTGCTGCCTTAGGGCACCGTGATCAGCTGCAATATCCTAGTTTGTAGTTCTTATGAACACTTATTGTTATGAACACTTAAATTGTGAATAAAATAAAATTGTCACTACTATATATTGATTGCATTACCAGGGTTGGAGTTTTCTTCCCGTACAGTAAACAATCAAAATTTGTACACAGATGTTAAGCTTTCATTAATGTTTTATTAACATATTTAGACATGCAAAGTACAATTAAGATACTTTTTAAAGGCAATTAAACATTTTTGATCTTTACAGCAACGCATGTGGAATTAAATAAATAACAGAAAAATAAATACATATTCTCTTAAATCTGCATTGGGCATCACACATTTGCATTATACAGTAATGGGCTATATTATATAACTTATGAACTTATACAAAATAAACTAATATGCTTCTCTAGTTTTTGCACCTATAAATCCAAATTCATATTTTAATAAATCAGTAAAATGATTTAAAAAATGTAACCATTTATAATGTAGCCTTTTCTTCAAAGACTATAAATGGGCAGTAGATCATATTGGCTTATTTAAAAAAAGCAAAAGTATATTGAATAATGATGATAATATAGTAAGTGCTGTAACTAAATTTAACCAATCAAATTCCACCTTGCATTATTTTAGGGCATGACTTTCATTTTCATTTTACTAGTTCTACATATACATATAAACAGCATACACTGGATTTATATGTTCCTTTACTTGATACATTTTACTGAGCCATTCTTCAGATTGGCTTTAGCATGCAGTTCTAACAATGTGGGTTTAATATTTTTAAATCCTATAAACGTAGATGTACAGTAATCTAAAGAAGACCTTTTTAGGAAACCGTTTTATTACCAGTATTTTATTCCTATGAATTGTTTGTTTCTGTTAGACATTGATATATAGATACAGATATTTGAATTATAAAATGGTATCAAAATATAACATGTCTGAGTTTATACAATATGTACTGATTATAGAGAAATCTGTATTATATAATATAAAGCTCTGAGGGCCCATTCACACTATTATACTGTGGTAACAGATAGCAATGCATGCAATTCATTCCAAATGCCACCTTAAATATTCCAACATGGTAAAAGATGCTAAAAAAAGTTGTGCCCAATGCATCAATTCCTACCTATTTTTAGGTCAGAAAATCAAGACTATCCCACCAATATGCTGAATACTGTGAGCTTCACAATAGGAGTAAATATATTTGTTTTAAAATTGATTTGGTCCAGGCAAATATTTCAAAACAATCTTTAATGCAACTATGTATTTTTAAGCAGACTATACAACATATAAATCTGTCTGTTTATCAGTGTTCTGTAATCTCTTGGACAGCAGCACGTAGGTGGTGAGAGTGTGGGTCAATACCAGCTTTGCACAGTGCTGTCATATTTACATTAGGAATATGCTTACAGAAGAGGAGTGCATAGAATTACATAATGTATGTCTGCTCCTGTATTGGTAAATCAGCAGGCTGAGAAAGGAGAAGTGACTGAGAAAAACTTCAAAAGCAATTGTTTCCTACTGTAACCTACCAGATGGATGAGTACTATTAGCTTGATTTCAGGAAGGTCATGTGCTCATGGAGAGTCCTTGCTGCTATGAGAATAAGGTGCAACATACATGAGAGGCATATAATCAAGAATAAAATTGATGTTCATGTGGGGTAGGGATGTTCAGATACCAAGTACCGTACAGATACTTGTCCAACTCCTAGACTAGAGATATCCTCTTCTACAAATGCTGTACACTGAGATGTGATTACTGCTTCTTCTGGAAACCCTGTTGCCCCCTTTGGGCATTGGGTGGACAGGAGTTACATCATCCCTGGCATTGTTGTCCCCAGAATGCACTGTATAGTCAAGACACAGCATAAAAAACTGCAAGCAGTGAGAAACAACAGTTTTCTGGCAGAACAGACTGTGCACGCCTCTTCTGCCACAAAATATTTAATTTCTTGCAGTTTTTTTTGTATTTTTGACGTTTACTTTAGTCAAAAAAAAAATTAAAACAAGCCTGGGTTTGGGAATAGGTACTGGATGTCAGGATGTAGGTTTAAAGAAGTTCATTATTATATATTTTTTTTATCATATTATCATTGATCAAAATTTAAGTTTTAATTATTATTATTAGAAACAGACACTAAGGCCACATTAAGGGCTCATGTAGATGGACTTTTAAAG